ATATATATATATATAGATAGATAGATGGTATATCTTTATGGACCATCCTTCTTCTTGTGTCTGTATTCAAAGCAAGACTTTAAGTGGTTTGTATCATATTATTTGTACATATTGTTTGCCCTTTGTTTAGCTGGCCTTAAATAAGTTGTATTTAGCATTCAGCTAACATGACCTGTCTGCTGGAACTGGGCTTTCCAATTAGGGTTGGGCAAAATCGTATTGCGTACTCATCAGTAAAACTGTCTGCAATTAATATTTGCCACTTTGCAATTAGTGCTGCATGATGACGTATTTTTGTGTACGACACTATCGTTATCAGGCGTGCATGTGAGCCCAATGAAAGTTGGCGTGGAGCGGCTAACGCTATCCCTAACGCTAACACTATGAACTTGTTTAATTGCTTAAAACACCAACATAAAACAGAGTCCAAAGAAAGCCAGAAAATGTAGACGAAGGCCACGTCATCTGCCCCAGATATGTATTAACTAAYACTGGCTAAATGTCACAATTAGTCGTGATGCAGTTTTATGTTAATGTTGCTCAGCTGGTAACTTTAAGATAAACCCAACTTCTGTATCGTCTAACTCAGTGATTCTCAACCAGGGGTACACAAGCRTATTACAGGGGGTACGTGGAATAATTTCCCAGGTGTGTAAAAAAATAAATAAAAATAGAGCTGAGATATGTAGGGCCCTGTGATTTCCACAATGTGGAAAATGCAAACGGAATCACGGAATTAACACAAAATGGAATCCTGTATAAAACGTGGAATCCCACAGAATTTGCTCATTTGGGGTATTTGATGTATTTTAGATGCTGCTGTTTTCTGCACCTGCCATTACCTGATTTATTTATTTAATTACTTATTCACTTTCAAGGCAATGTTTTTATCTTTATATTTTGAGTTGAAAAGAATAAAAAGTCTGAGAACTAAATGTTCTAGGGGATTAAATAAATAATTTTAATTTAATAATCAGTTGTAGTACATTATAGTTTTGGAGAATCATCATTGTGTTTGGTTGAAGGGGTACTAGTGGTTTGGGAACCACTGGTCTAACTCACCAGTCCTAACGCTCGTAAGCAGCATGTGTTTGGTGGCGTCCAGGTGTCCGTCGTTGGCCTCGGGCTGGATCCCCAGGAGGTGACACATCAGAGGGTACACGTTCACCGTCTCAAAAGGCCCCACCTCCAGGTTCCTGTGGAAAGCCGGCCCCACAGCCCTGAAGAACGGCTTCATGTCCATCTCCTGGTTGTCGTAGCCATGCTCTCCCTTGTTGAACTGAACCGGGAAATACTGCAGAGTGGATGATGCAACAAACACGGTTCAGTAAAAGTGGAACTCTCAGTGAGGACAGCTGAACAGATCTGGACATCTTGGCCGACTTCCAGCAGAGGGAGATGTTGGCTAAGCTAAAAATGTTTAATCTGTTCTGGAGGGGCTTTTCTCTCTTTGTGCCTGCTGTTAAACAATGATTTAATTTTATTAACTCAACATTTGTTAGAAACCAGCTTTTATTATTGTAGAATATGAGCTAAAGTCTGTTGAATAAATATGAGTATATGGTATATGTTAATTTAAACATTACGTAACCGTCCATTCTGCTGTGGAAACAAACAAACCAGATTAAGCTACAAAGGGAGAGAACAAAGAGTCAGCTAATATTGTGATCACTGCCGGTCATAACCCCGAGAACTTGAGAGAACCGACTCCGTGAGTGGATTCACGCAGCTGGCACGTTTTCTTTAAACGTTTTCTGAATTCAGCTCTGCACTTTTGAAGTCCTGATGTGACGGTTCACAGTGTGGACTGACACATTCGGCTGAAAAGTGGCTGTACGCCGGAGTGGCTGAGTGAGTGTGGAGCCAAATGAATATGCTAATTTGGAATTTTGAGGCATGAATTGCTTTGCGAAACATTCGAGAGCGCTGCATGTCATCCGCCAGGGCCTGGATTATCCGTGCAAATGCACTTGATTAAAAATGTAATGTACCGAGATTAGAATTTAACTTGTTGTTGCTGATTGAAAAGAGCTCAGTTTCACAACTTCCAGTGAGCAGATTTAAGGTAATTTAATTATTCCTAAGGTCAGGATTCAACGTGATGACACGTTCAGRTTAGTTATCAACATTATCTCTATCGGTATAGAAGTCATTTGCTTTCCTCGCGACCAATCTAGAAGATCATAATTGCACAAATTTACTGGCTTGTGTTGTTACRTTACGACAGCTGTGATAGCAGGGAATGTAAATGTTTGTTGTTTTAAATGTGGCAACTTGCATAAGCACAATTGGCAATTTCTTTTACCCTTTAAAGGGTAAATCGATAGGACTTGCTGTGGGCAGAAAACTGCAGCAGCACCTGTCACTCTGTTGCACATCTGGCCGAAAGCAAATCACTGACACAGGTGGAAACGTCTGACGCTGTTTTTCCTGCTGTAGAAGCACCAACAAAGTTCATGAGCAAATAATGTTTAAAACCCAACAACGTACCCCGTTGATAACRTATCCAGGGTCGGCCCATAAAATGATGGGCAGGATGCGGTCGTTGTTAGCGTAGTGCAGGTGCTCTGGCATCTCTTCCTTCTTGTACACGTGCAGGTGAGGGTGAGCCCCCTTCAAGGTTTGGTAAACCGCCTCCAGCTTCCCGGGCTTAGGCAGCAGCATCCCAGCGGGGCCGTAGTCCACCAGGTGGAAGGACAGGTCGCTGAACGAAAAGCCCGGGATCTTCCTCAGGATGATCTCGTCCACCATGCCGTTCCGGAACACGGTGCTCATGCCGTGGTCCGCCGTCATGATGATGTTGAGTCGGTCGCTCAGCCCGTGGCGCTGAGCGGACTGCCGAATGTAGCCCACCGTTCTGTCCACCTGCCTCACCATGTCTCTGCGCTCAGGTGAGTCCGGCCCGTATTTGTGGCCCACGCCATCTGGCTCGCCGAAGTACAGGGACACGAAGTCCAGATCCTGATCCCTGAACCAGCCCATCACCTTGTCCGTGTTCTCTCGCCAAGCGGTCTCGTTCTTGTAGTTGTAAAGCAGCGGCTCCACTTCGCGCAACATGGCAACCTGTCCCTGGTAACTGGAAGCCGTGCCAGGGAAGTGAAGAGAGCCAGCTTTCAGACCCTGGAAAGAGCAGGAAAAACAGCCTCCGTAAACTCCACACACGTGCTGGAACTGATGACAAGTAAGTGCACACTTGGTGGGCTCAAACTGTGGGTCAACACAGAAGGAAATCAAATCAGCCATTGCTGTATTCTAATTACAGGGTTCCCACATGTCCTTGAAATCCTTGAAAGTTGAAAAAATAATTTGAAGGCCCTGTAAAGTTTGTGAAAACAGACAAAAATTACACTTGTCCTTGAAAGTCCTTGAATGTTTTTTGGGGATTGAAGTTCTCTATTCTACGGAGCCCGCGAGGGGATGTGGGAGGATTTTTTTCTTTTGCATTCCCTCGCAATACCTTTGCATTCCATCGCAATACCTTTGCGTTCCCTCGCAATACCTTTGCGTTCCTTCGCAATGCCTTTGCGGTACTTCGCAATACCTTTGCGTTCCCTCGCAATACCTTTGCATTCTCACGCAATACCTTTGCGTTCCNCGCAATACCTTTGCGTTCCATCGCAATACCTTTGCGTTCCATCGCAATACCTTTGCGTTCCATCGCAATACCTTTGGGTTTCCTTGCAATACGTTTGCGTTATATTGCAATATTGTTTTGCGTTACTTCGCAATATTATTTTGCGTTCCCACGCAAAAGTTTGATTTGTATACGAACTGAATTAAATCAGACTTTTATTTTGAAATATCTGGTTACCAAAACAGGATGTGTCGCCACAAGTTCGTGAAATTGGCATTGATGTTGCGTGGCTGCACTGTGTAAAAATATCGGCATATGACATACTTCCATGCGTGGTTGTGTGATATATTCATTTTAAAGCTGAATTAAAGCAGTAAGCTAACTCGCTAATGGTGAACATGTGTATTTGTTAATAAACCGGCAGGCACAACAGTGATAAACTACTTTCGCGAGGGAACGCAAAAGGTATTGCGAGGTAACGCAATACTTTTGCGTGGGAACGCAAAAAGAAAAAATCCCCCATGTCTTCTCGCGGGCTCAGTACTGATTTTCATCAGTTGTAAAAAAAACAAAACAAAAAAACTTAAATTTGTTGTGATGGATAACTCAGGGTTATGGTAAACTGACGTGGCTTTCAACAAATAACGTAAACCATAGTTATAGTTTCACCCAATCAGAGCAGAGTAGGGCGGGTCCTTCTTTCTGAGCCCAGGTGAGAGCACCACAGTTCCTCCAGTCCTCACCGAGCRTCTGGACATGTTCACATCCCCTCCTAAACTGAGCTGCCCAACCTCCCAGGACATAATTACATGTCCATGTGTTGTAGATATGAATGTAAGGTAAACATTTAATCCACTTTCTTTCATTGATTCTGACTCAACAACTTCTATGTTCAGTTTTTCACTGAATTTACATGTTAAACCTGTTTATTGGTAACTTTCTGTGGTAGCAGTAGGTAATTGCCATTGTGCGTGGTTCTTAAATTTGAGGAAATTGGTACTGGAAAGTCCTTGAAAGGTCCTTGAATTTCATGTTGACCAAGATGTGGGAACCCTGTAATTAATTTCCTTCCGCCTACAGTCAAACCTTTTGCTGTCAGCTCTATCTCTAAACATCTACGCCTGCAGGATAATTTGCAGCTGAAGTGTCTGAAATCACTCAGCAAAGCTTCAGAGGTGTTTTGTCAACAGAAAAAAAAAGGTTTCTATTGCTGTAAACAGCCTCTCTCTCTCTCGAAGATGAGATGGAAATCGTAGCGCTCAGACCTGTCTCTGCGCCGTGATCCAGATAGGCAGGGAGCCATTGTCCCACCACTCATTCACAAACTGGGTCTGGTAGTAGGGCTTCTTCGCAGAGGTGGTTGTGTTGAACCACATGTTGTGGATTACCCCGTGGTTCTCGATGTAGCGCCCTGCGAAAAAAGAGAATCACTGTCAGCCCTGCCACCGCTCATTATTCACGGCGTGACGCATTTACATTAAAAAAATCTATCAACTTAACGGGCGGAGTGGCGTGACGCTTTTCTGCGCGAGGTCTTACGACTGACTTTGGAGATTAGGAGAATTTAATTTCAAGGAAGTTAAATTTCCTTTAGTAGGCACTGATGATTCGAGAGTCAAAATAAGAAAGGGAGGAGAATTCTTCCCTCAGTCATCCAAGCATAATCATCTTACTCAACTATAAAAGCCGTTGGACCCGAGGACATTCAATTACAACTAATTCCTCTTCCTTGTGCCTCTTTTTCCAGTTCTTACAAAGTAAACTCAGTTTTCTGTCATGATACGCAGATACATTTCCAAGCCAAAGAACCATGGAACTGTGTTTTACCTGTCAGGAGGGTGAAGTGTGATGGACTGGTGATGGTGAGGTACGGAGGCGTAACATATTGGGCTTTGACTCCATCCTTGGCCATTTGGTCAAGGTTTGGCGTGTCCACGTCGCGGTCGTAGTCCCACCGGAAACCGTCGAAGGAAATGAGCAACAGCTTCTGCCTCTCTTTGCTCACCGGAGCTCCGAGGACGGAGGAGGCCCAGAGGAGGCAGAGACCCSTGGTCCACAGCATGACGGCGAAGGCTTTGGCAGGTCTAACCTGACCCCGTCCTTCAGCTGGAACTCTTTACGTGATCACACCCCTGATCTCCAAGTGCAACAACTTCTGAACAAAGTTTCACCAACTTATCTTATCTTATTGATTGGACGGAYTTTATCTCAGCTCTCTCTGCATGCAGCCTGATGAGGTTTATGAGCCAGTTTTATGGCTGGGAGTTGTGTTCACAGCGAATCCCCCCCTCTCCCTCATTTCAGTCTTGAGTACTGGCAGTAAAGCAGAATAATCTCTCTGGGCATCTTGCCCGTTTCTCCCCTAACTCTGTTGTTGATGCTGCCTTTCTGTTTGTCTGCCTGCCCGTCTGTGAGCCGGAGTTTCCTGTGAATCACTGACAATGGAGGAATGACACTTTGATGGGTTTCACCTTGGATTGGGGTGGTGCGTGATTGATCTGACAACAGGAAAATGAAGAGGGGAATGAGAGCGTATATCTCATCAGCTAGCAGTGGTCTCCCAGAAAGCAAAGACACTAATAGACATATTTGTTTTAATAACTCCCTGGATGTTGTTTGGATCTTCATGAAACTTGCAGTGCGCAYAAGATGTCCTCAGATCATACTCAGTATTCTTAACCCAACATTATATATCACCACAACGTGATGTAACCTTATCAATGTCCATCAAACTGCCAGACAAGCTACGTCTTCAGATTTGTTCTTTATCATGCGTGTCCTTGGCAGAAGTTCAAGGGAATCTTCTAATCTTTATGGAGATAAAGGATAACATTCATCAGCTTTCATTTACCTCATTCATATTCATCAGCTTTCTCATGCTGACTCTATCCACTCGTCCACCGTCAGCAAGATTGGGAGAAGTGTTTTGGACTGCCGAGACCAGTGGAAGCCTCAGATCTCTGCTATGAGAACTTTATCAAACGCACACGCTCTGAACTCGCGGGGCAGGCAAACTTTTTCTGACCCGCTCGGTCCTGAGCAGAATTTCCAGCGGGATTCTCACATTTTTCTTGAAGAAGAGAAGTGAGGTTTTTGCCTTCAGCGCTCTCTGCTGTGGAACACCTTTCCYACACAAACAGAGAGCCAAACAGCTTCACCCCACTCCAGCCTGAGAACGTAGAGGGGAATAAAGACGCTGCTCATATTGTTGCGTCTTTTAAAAAAGTATCGAGGTTTAACTTTGATGTAAATCACGCTTTAAGTCCTCTGAATTGTGCATACTACCAGCTGAACGTATACAAACTATTATCAATCAGTTATTGTTTGATTGTCAGCAGGAGAAATGAAACAGTTATAGTGTAGATGTCTTCACTGTTTCTGATGACGCCTTTTACCTCCACTTTATTTTCTTCTCCAGAATACATTTCTATATATTCTATCCTTGCATGCAAACTTATTTGACAAAAACTGGATCTTGCTATAAAAGTTAGTCACCTCTAAGAATATTACTTGAATAAAAATCTTAAAGTATCTGATATTTTTTGCACTTAAGTATTAAAAGTAAATTTCTGACATAAAATGTATTTAAGAATTTAAAGTAAAAGTATTGCATAAAAAATACTTTCATTGGGGGGTGACCTCCCCAAAAAACATTTATATGAAGGCCGAAATGTCTATAATATATTAAAATGGAAAAAAAAAGGTAGGATGCATTAGTCTACCCCTCACATGGGAAATGCTGCACATATTATATATTTGCCACAAACATCTTTGTACTAATATGTCTATGTCCTGCTAATTAATACTAACTAATAGAGTATCATAAAGGTAAAAACATCTCATCCAACTACATTTAAATTCATTCTATCCAAGAAACACAATTTATGTATTTAAAAATGTATTCATTTCATTAAAAACAAAATAAATTTGATATACAAAAGATGAAAAGAATTCACAAATAAAAACTAAAGGCAGCAGAAAGAAGAAAAATATCTTATATCTGCTCCTTTTTTTCTCAGAATAAATTTAAATCTGTCTGGATGGGGTTGTTTTTACATTAAAAGCCAAAATGAAATGGGAGTAATGCCTTTCTACTTCTAACCTTTTTTAAATGTAAAGACTAGAAAGTATAACAAAAATTTCTACTAAAGTACATTAACAAAGTATTCGTATTAGTTACTTTACAACTCTTATTTTGAGTTTGAAGGCCTCACACTTGTTGAAGAACGCTCATCTGTTCAGAAACGTCTGTTTTCTTTAGATTTTCTTTGTTTCAACAGGAACAAAACTTCATCTTTAACGCTGTTTTGAATGCAGTGATTTATTTCAGTCTTCTTACAAAAGATCCAAACGTTCACAGAGAAGTATAAAATGAAGCTTAAAAAAACACTTTCCTGAGCTCTTCTTCTCCCACATGTCGAGGCAGTTTAAATAAATCATCACATGTTAACGCGTGGAGGTTTCTGTGCGTGTTTTTTTGGGGTTATAAATCGTTCCTTAATTCATCTGAGGATCTGCAAACTTCCAGAACACACACCAAGCGTCTGGGTCTTAAATCAGAATTGCTGATGAAAGACGAGCGAGAGCTAAATGTAAAATACATAAACACAACCACGCCTTTGTAGGATGAAGATAAATCCTCAGCTGCATCTGTATTCTGCTCACTTTGGAGTTTGAATGGAGCCTGCTCCGCTCCCCGCTGTGACTGGAAGGAAACCATCAGGATGGTGCCAGCGTGCCCAGATCGATGCCTTTTGAATTGTGTGCAAACAAACTTTTAATGCATGAACGGCTCGTTATCCAGTTATGTGCGAGTGGGTCCTGGTGTAAAGCTCCCAACTCCGCTGGAAGTACGCTGCAAACACACGTGCTGACAAACATTTTAACGGCACAATGAACACAGTCGATCATCATCATCATCATCATGCAGGAGAAGCTCACGCTGTCGTTTTATCTCATCTGCTGCAAACAATCAGTTGGTACAACTATAAAATCCAACTTATTCTAATCAGACAGGTTTTTTTTTTACCAATTAAAGTTCTTTCTGTGCATTTATCCTAAAAAACATAAAACTAGAAGCACTCAGAGAGCACAAACCTCCACCAAGGCCAATTTACCCTTAATTTCACCGAAATTTAATGGTGTGTTACTTTGGCCAATACACACCTGTGGTAAAAATGTCATGAAAATCCATTCATAACCTCTAATTTACACTACTTGCGTTCCATCTCCACTGCGCTGCGCAGGTCGCAGCTGTGCGTTTCAAGTCCAGTTACACAACCTGCGCTCCACTCCGGTCCGACAGACGTGCAGGAAGCAGATCGTGCGATAAATTCAGTGATAAGTGTGGAAGTCAGAGCAAAAAATAATTAATTCTGTGAAAGATGAACTCCAAACACAGCTGAAAACATTAATATAAAAGCTTTTGGTATCTATGGTTGAAACTGTATCACTGTTGTCCATTTGAAACTTCTGATTTCAAAATAAAATCCACGTGTATCGTGTGTGTGTACACATTTGCTTCATGCTACGTTTCTATCTGCTTCCCAAACAGAACCATACATTCTGACAGCATTTGTGTAGAAATATATCCGTATATTTATTAATATAGCTGCAATTTCGACATTATTCCGACAAATTATCCAGCCTAAAAGTGTCTTATTTTGAAAATACAGATGTTGTGCTCGTTTCTTTTCCTGTTATAAATAAAAGCACTGTGTCTTTATTCAGTTTTATAATCTATAATTTTATAATCTGTTGATAAAGTAAGTGTGTCAGATTGTGGAAAGGCTCGAGTCTTTGTGCTCCAACATGAACGTTTTGTTCAGTCTGTTCCTGGTTTTATACCATCAAGATTTCTGAGTTGTTTACTTACAACAATCAAGGATCGTCCCGTTCTTCTGAAGCACAGTGACATGAAGGGACGGCTCGGCTGCAACAGCTGGAACAAACTGTTTGTAGGAAAATTAGCATAGATGTTTCAAACTACAGCATAAAAACAATACAACGTTGTGAAAGTGAATGAGCTGTCAGATAATTAACAAACTCTGCAGCATCCTCCTCTGTTATGAAGCTAATTGAATTCCACCTCATTGTTAAACTGTTTGCTTTGGTTGAGTAAACTCTCACAGCTCTCAGCTGCAGATTCAGCTCTGCAGAAACACCCAGACTGATGAAGACGGGAAGATGGACGCCTGTGGGCGGAGAATGAGAGCTGCGGTGGTCTCACTTGTTGCTTTGGTTTGATCTTTGGTCACAATGTTGGAGTTTTTGAAGACACAAGTGGAGACGTTTGGACTAAAGAACATGAAGACTGATTGGACGTGCTTTGTTTAATATTATTATTATTATTATTATTATTATTTTGTTGAGTTCATGATAAAAGTTGGTGCTTTTAGGCTTCAAATTATTGATTTGATTCATAAAACCTGCAGTTTTTTTGTTTTTTGGTTGAAACTGTGACACAAAGATTTGCTTCGTCAGTCTAAAAGTTAGAAAATATTTAGATGAAAATGTGTTTTTTAAACCCTGAAGTGTCAGTTAAAGTAATTTTGATGTTTTTAAATAGAAGTTTAGAAAAGGGGGGTTTGGCTGCAGCAGGGTTGGGGTCTTCTCACCTGTCAGGGAGCCGTGCTGATGCCTGAGGACACCTGAGAACACCTGAGGACACCTGAGGACTGTCTGATTGTGTGTTTTTTAAGTTCTGAACATGGGCGGACAGCAGAGGTTCACCGTGAGGCAAACAAACAGACAAAACTTTCTTTTTTAAATCAAAATAATAAATAATGAACGCCTTCCTCGTCATCCCTCCCCGGCCCGTCGTCGGGTGCGTTAAAGTCGGTGTCAGCGCTTCGTCAAACCCAGACTGACCTTGAGCGTCTGTCTGTGGAGTCGAACAAAGCCTGCGTATGAATCCTGCTCCTGTAATGTGTGCTGACACTGATTTGATAACAGTGAGATTAACATATAGAGAGGCTGCAGTCATTTCCACCTGAACTGCACGGCACGGCACGGCACGGCACGGCACGGCACACATAACATACATTATTAAAACCAAGCAGCAGGAAAGTGACAACAAACATTTCCATAATATAGTAGGTCTTCCTTCAACAGAGCCCAGCTGTAGTACACAATTATCTTTCAACCCTTCAAGAGTCCATCGCAACCATGACGTTCTTTCTTTAATATTTATTGCTGCTCAGACCGTGTGACCTGAAGTTATGGCAGGACATCAGAATGTAAACCAAATAAATTCTAGTTAATGATCCATCCATAATAAATGGTCATAAACATTAAGTATACCTGTGGGTTTAAAGAAAAAAGTTAATGTGTACTATATTACTGCCTCG